ACATTTAGTAAGAAATTATTTTTCCTTTCATTGAAGTAAGCATTCTCTGTAAAGAAAAGTGTTTTAAATAAAATTCTTAGATTTTAATCAGACCAATAATTATATAATTTCATTTACAAATTTTTGGTGTGATGAACTGCTTTTGAGAAAAATGGCACATCCAGATTTACAGAATGTAATTTCTCTTACTATTATTGGCTACATTTTCTGTTCTTACAAGCATTCTGCTGAAGAGTCTGTATAATGTTTACACCGCTCAGTTTCACAATATTCTTCATAAATAACATGTAAGTGTACTTACGTTTTAAGAACAAATTAACATCCTGCAGCTGGGGAATGTTATCCTCCCTATATTAACAGAAAAATAGGCTATATATATACGTATGTATAGAACTTAAATAATAAAGTTGTGAAATTACCAGGAAACTTCTTTCAAGAGGTAATCCATCCGATTTGTACGTATTGTGGAGGTACAATTTCGGATGCCTAGCTGATTTATTCGTGGTTTTCCTCAATACCTCAAAGGAAAATACCGTGGTAGTACCACAAATTAAGTCAAGAACCCTTCCTTCGACATCATTTCTAGTCATTAACCTATCCTCAATCGTTTTCCACTACGTACCATTTACTTATCTAGAAATGGCTGAAATGAAGTTAAGCACTATTGTTTCGTAAATGTATGGGCTTAATTAAAATCTATGTTAAATGTATGAAAATCAGCGATGTTTCGTTACTAATGCTGCCAATTCATTTCGCCTACAATAATAACTCCTTGGCTTCACCGATTAGATTCCAGAATCCTACTTCCAGAATCTCCTTGGTCCTCCTCTTTCTTTTTATTTGAACGTTTATAATCCGTGCCATTTTCGGCCACCTAGTTTCATGCTTCATACCAACAGGGCCTTTCCATTTTCTCTGATTGTCCTAATGTAAGGCCCATGAACAGGAAACGCGATAGCTATTTAGAATAGAGGCAAATTGAAAACATTCATGTAACGCGCTACAATTCTAAGCATGTTAAAATTTTAAAGTTTCAAAGGTCTGTTGGTCTATCTATACGCAAAGGCAGGCTGTCAATGGTGTTATATTATTTGTTTTTAGGATCAGGCAACTTTATTATTCTCATATTGTGAATTTCTCTGGATTAAATTCAGTCTAATGACAACTTCAACAAAGCAAATATTTGTGTACATTGAAGTGTCATTAAGCCGTGCCATAGCTCAGGCGGTTAGTCTCTGTTTTCCCACCGAGGCTGCCCGGGTTCGAGCCCGGATCAGGTCATGTGACATTTGTGGTGGACAAAGTGGAAAAGGGGCAGACTCCCCTTCCCCCGAGTACTTCTGTTTCCCCTGCCAATCTTCATTCACCCCATTGTTCCACAATCACCATCATCTATCATCTGGGGCTGGTACAGTAGTCCAATAGTGGCCGCAGTACCAAGTGGACTCATTCTCACTCCACTAACAACAACAACAACAATAATAATAATGATATTATGACCCTTATTGTCTTCAACGACCCACTAGATCACGAATGTGACGTCAGTTGAGCAGACAAGTTTCATTCGTGATTTGATTTCCTCAGGCCTCCTTGTGATCAGTTGAAGAACGCTTTCTACTGTTTTCCGGAAGAACTTGGATGCCTCGGACCGGCACTTTCCAGTGTTTTCTTATTCACAGATCCATAAAATGGAAGCGCATTTTCCAAGGAAGATTTTGTTGTTTTACATTTGTACAATAAAGATACATTTACTACTGACACTTCCATTGAGTCTAATTTAATCAATACAGAATGTAAGAAAAGAACAGTATGAACACTTACCTATAGCCACAGTACTTGACAAGCTGAGGCCAGTTCTCTAAATACTCCTTACAGGCGTGGATTACGTACAGCTTATGAAGCTCCCTGAACACCGTTCCCCTAGACAAATCGAGAAAACCACTCCGTATTTATGTATTTATTATGTCGTCGAGCAATCTTGGGTTACCTCAGTAGAAAATTTGACCATTAGAATATAAATTAGCATATTAGGCTTAATTACTACACCGTGATATTTGGCTGGACACAATGGAATAAAGTTAAGAACAATTTTTCAGGTATTAAACCGCTGTATGTAATTAATTGTTTGGTTCCCCAGGGCGCGAAGACAGTATTTCCACCCATTCCCTAAAGTTCTGTACTACTAGGATTTTCGTAATTTCTAGTCAGTTCCCATTAGGTCTCTAGCTGTGGAACACTGCTTTCAATAATTAGTGGGTTTTCGGACTTTATCCATCATCCGGTATTCTAGAAGCTAGAAAACAAAACGTTTCGGAAACTTGATCTGTTTTCGTCGTCAGGTGGGCGGTGGAGGCAACTACTTTGTTCGGTCTCTTAGAAAGAACTATTGTATTGTATTAGAGAGGGTGGGTTTCTCCATGCACTTAGACCAACTGTTGGTCCATTGTGCGTCCCCCTATGATATTCTACCAGTCTCTATTCCCTACCGGTGCTGGTGCGTGCCATCAGTCCCGACTCAGCCAGCGAGTTCGGCCTCTACTGGCTCAGCGGTATCTCGATGCTTCCCCCATCTACCAGAGGCGTTAGAGACTACTGTTGAGCGGGAAATGTCCTGAATTGGGCTCAGAGGTCCCCTTGACACATGAGGTTCTTTTACGTGCCATAAAGCTATGACACGGGACCCACGGCTTAAAGTAACTACTTGAATTTTTCCACCCTTAAAAATTCCACGACATCCGCCGGGTTTGAACCCACGTACCTTGAGACACGAGGTGGGAACGTTAACCCTAGACTACGGAGGCTGCTCTAGAAAGAACTAACCTCGCTCATATAACTACAGCTATATAGACGTCTGAGATCAGGCTTGGTCAGTGAGAGATAACAGAGAAACGTGCAATTAAAATTGCGACAAAACACGCAGAGCCTTCAAACTTATATAGGAAAGAGGAGTAAATTGTATGCAATTTATGAAAATTTGTGTTTTTTAGAATACCAGACGATGAGCAAAATCAAAGTATTATATAAGTCTGAGTATAATACACCATCGTTAAAATCCTTTAGAATCTACTGCCTTCCAGTTCGTTAGTTTATTGGCATTCAGTAATAGATCAATATGCTCCCAATCCAATCATATTGTGTCTGGATATTTGGGAGGGAACTCCGATATTTAAAAAAAAAAAACTCTTCTGCTTCATCCAAATAAATAAATTCACACAAAATTCATACATTTCATTTCATTTCAATGAAATGGTATCCCGTTTTGTCTGACGGTACTGTAGCAGAACTGAGAGAGCCACGGAAGTTGAGAATGCATCAGGTTTCTTTAGTATTGTCTTCGTTACCTGAACGGCACGTCTTACGACCGATATACCCCTTCTTGGGCTCCCTTGTGAGACACACTAATTGACGCTATTCCTGCACCGGTGCCTCAGTCTACAATCTTCATATAAAACAGGCCTCAAGAAAAAGAAGGATCTATAATTCAGCCATTTCTATAAATTTTTGCCCTGTTGCCAGGGAGTTGAAAATATCACATAGAAATATAGACTAAAAAGTAGACAGATCAGTGGAAAGCCTCTTCTAATTTATTTCCGACCTAACATCTACGCTTGCATCTCGTTATTATAGACAAGAACTTTGTGACCAAGTCATGGCTATGTAAAATTTATATGCAGAACCAATGCCACTAATTCCAGAATAACTTCGTCTTTCTTACGGGGAATAAAAGTTACGGACAAATTTTACTTTAGGTTAGTTTATTTGAGCTTTAAATGTTTAGTTTCTTTCATTTAATATTTTTATTTATATTCACCTCTGTGATCTAATGGTCTGAGTACATCGCTACAGATTCAGAGGTCCCGGGTTCGATTCCCGGTGCTACAAGATTTTCTGAGAAGTAGTGGGTCTGGAACGGGGTCCACTCAGCCTCGTGAGGATATTTTAGGAACTATTTCAAGGAAATAGCGGCTCCGTTCTAGAAAACCGAGATTAACTGCCGTGGGGATCAGTTGCGCTGACCATGTGACACCCTATATCCGTAAAAGTTGGCACTAACTTCGCCGACAAGCGGCGGTCGCTCGGTCAGTATAGTTCGCTTGCGGACTACAGGCCACGGATTTGTTCTAATGTGTACTTTCTAAACACAGTAAGCTTGCAATTGGAAGGGTGGAATTACTGCGCTGAATGAAAGCCTGAAGATAGTGGAGAAGGTATGGCCCTAAGATTTAGAATTAGAAATATATCTAAGCGTCCCTTACCGTAGAATGTTGCATGTTATAAATTTCCCAAACAGCATCAGACTTGAACGGACTCTCTACCCGCATTCTACCTTAAATTCTAAAGATTATACATGCAAATATAATTTTACCTGTTGTTTTGTACGGGTGAGACACATAGTGTCTCGGTCCGAGGGAACAAACGTACTGAACGCAACCAAAGTGCCGAGGGAAGTATTGAACCTGGGTGTTTGGAGCTAACATGACGGAGAAGATTACATAATGAAGAATTATTGTACTCTTTACACAATACGTGTATAATTACTTACTTACTCACTCATGGAGCTGAGCCCTTCTGGAGGAGCCGCTAATTCTGCAGCTACTCAAGAATCTCACAGCATTTTATGGAACCCGAAGGTTCATTGCCGTGTTCATAAGAGCCCTCTACTGGTCCCTATCCTGAGCCAGATCTATCCAATCCATACCATCCCATCCTATCTCTCTAAGATCCATTTTAATATTGTCCACCTACGTCTTTGTCTTCCTAGTAGTCTCTTCCCTTCTGGCTTTCCCACCAATATCCTATATGCATTCCTCGTCTCCCCCATTTGTGCTACATGACCTTCCCACTTCATCCTCCTTGACTTGATCATTTTAATTATACTTGGAGAAGAGTACAAGTTATGAAGCTCCTTATTAAGCAGTTTCC